TCAAGGGGTGAAATTTCATGAAATTTGTTGTCTAAAAGGGTGCCTGTTTATACCTGCAACATGCTCTCTGCAAATTTTTGCCTTTCATGAAAATCCGTTGTTTCTCATTATTAATACCAGCCTGTAGTTTCTGCATCATAATAATTTTATATATATATATATATATATATATATATATATATATATATATATATATGTATATATAGATGCACTAACTAGTAGCATTCTCATTCATGTTATTTTAACTGTAAGCAACACCTCAATGATTAACCAACAGTTCAATAATGCAGAGCTACCACTCCGTCTGGCTGACTTTGGAGTTCTACACAGGAATGAGGCCAGTGGTGCACTTACTGGCTTAACACGTGTCAGGAGATTTCAGCAGGTATTGTCACATTTTTTATTTCCTTTTGTCTTTAATAGATGATCATGTAAGCTTTTTCTTAAGGAGCAATAGTGGTTTGTTTCATACACTTAAGTTTTTGCCATGTGTCATCCTGAAGAACCTCTTCCTATAAAACCTTCATTACTGCCTCCTTTGTGCTTAGACAACCTCTTTTCTAACCCTATTACTTTGCAGGATGATGCTCACATCTTTTGCAGGGAGTCACAGGTGGGTTATGATTTATGACTGTGCTATGAACCTACATAATTGGAAAACTAGTATGACCTAAATTATTCACGTTGCAGATTAAGGATGAAGTCAAGGGTGTCTTAGATTTCATCAGTTATGTGTATAAGATATTTGGTTTCACTTTTGACCTGAAGTTATCAACGGTACGACTTTTTCTATTCCATTATTTTTCATATTGTTATAATTGATTTCGGCTAAATATCGGTCCTACATGCATTCGTTATTATAGTATTGATTACAGACAGTTGCCCCTGTTATGGAACATTTTTCGTTGTTCCATACATATTCTTGTCTGGAAAGTGAGCTGCAAGTGCAACTGTTTTTTCCATTGTTCTTATATTCAGATGTTTCTGTATATGGTCTAACATGCATTTTGTGAGTGCTTTCCACATTTCTGTTGTACATTTCTCCATGTATATCCCACTCGTATTTCTGACTTGCAGAGGCCTGAAAAGTATCTTGGAGACTTAGAAAGCTGGAACAAGGCTGAAGATGCTCTTGCGGAAGCATTGGACGAGTTCGGAAAGCCCTGGGAGGTTTGCTATCAAATTTTCTTGGATCTGAAAATTAAAAAAAATTGGACTTTAGACATCATTTATTACAATTCTACACCTTTTTTGGTGCTTCTTTTATCCCACTCTATTCCATTTTTATGTCACGTCACTCAATGATGACACCATTCTACTATAAAGTTGTTGTATGGAGCTTTCACTTCTTTTTTAGTAATTCTACTTGACTTATATTTACTTTTTTACTATTTAAACTAATATTTTAAATTCCTTGCGCAATCAAATGTTGTTGTATGACGGGAGGTGTAGCTCTTTTTGGGTTACACCAACAGGAAAATCGGGATTGTTGTTTTGGGATTTTTTTTTTGTGTGTGTGTGTGTGGTGGGGGGGGGGGGTTACCCTCTAGCAATTTTCTGTTTATGTATGGAAAACCGAGGTAGTCACCCCGTTGTGTCTTCTTTTCTTGGTTGTTCTTTTTCTTAATTGCTTTAATCTTGACTTTTACTTAAAGAGTTCTGTTCAATCAGAAAAACGAAGGAGATGGAGCGTTTTACGGTCCAAAAATTGATATAAGTGTTTCTGACGCAATGAGAAGAAAATTCCAGTGTGCAACATTGCAGGTTAGATTTGGTCTTACGAAATTGGTTCATTCCACAAACAATTCCCCTTTGAAATTTCATTTACCTTCAAACTTTTCGGAAAGGTCTATTGCACCACATTGGAAGTATTCATCTAAATGCTTTCTTTTTCAGCTTGATTTCCAACTTCCTCAACGATTCAACCTTGCATACTCAGCAGAAGATGAAAATAAGAGGGAGAGACCAGTTATGATACATAGAGCTATACTTGGGTCAGTTGAGCGTATGTTTGCTATTCTTTTGGAGCATTTCAAGGGGAAATGGCCTTTCTGGCTTAGTCCACGTCAAGCAATGGTCTGCCCTGTTTCCGACAAATCTCAGTCATATGCTCTGGAGGTTAGTTTCTGTTATGTACTTTCATTAAACGAATAGCATTTCATGAATTATTCTTTCCTGTGTAGTTCATCATTATGAAATTGCCTTAACCTTTTGCTTGTCTTTTATTCAGCTCCGAGAGCGAATACATGATGCTGGTTATTATGTTGATGTTGATACAAGTGACAGGACAATCCAGAAGAAGGTTTGTGTTTAATGTCGTTTATCAGATAGAATGCTCGTCTGTTTCGCGCTAGTGCAGGCTCACTGAGCAATTTTTATATGAAATTACTAATTTACAGTAAGTATTTAGGTCTAAGGACGAAGTAACAACAAATTTCCCTGTTTCTTGGTTAGAGTTTATTTTATAAAAAGGAAATAAAAAACTACTTCTATGTGGAAATCATCTATGCAGTGTCACATAAGTTAGGTCTGTTTGGAGACTCAGCTGGCATAAAAGACTCAGTTCCTTCCAACAATAACCATTATGTTTTTAAAGTCCTTGTGTTGATATATCAGCTAAAGTCAATAGTGGTCACCTCTTTTTTGACGGGATTGGTATTAAGGACTGGCAAGGACTGCCGTCCTGAATTTGTTAAGCTACATTTGGCTTCAGAAATGCTATTAGAGAAGTTTACTAGTGGATTAAAAAATAGAAAAAGAAGGATGTAACATACACCCACAGAATAATGGGAGATGTAAATTTTATATTGTATATCCATCCTGTACTCCGAAGCAAGCCATCGGAATGACATAGTGCTTTCAGCTTTGAAGCTAATATGCTATGAAGATTTGATGAAGTAACTTAAATATTCCTCACGCAATACAAGTTCAGTCTCAAATAAAACTTCTTGTTGGCCTGTTAAAAAGAAATGCTTGTTTATGGCTGTTAATGTATGTGCAGGTACGAGAGGCTCAAGTGGCACAATATAACTATATTCTGGTTGTTGGAGAGGCGGAAGCCAGTAGTCGGCAGGTATCTTTATTGTCCCCGACCTGCATCGTATATATCTTTTTGTGATTGCAATTGAACAAACTGAAAAAATAGTATCCAGATTACTTTGATCTGGCTCCATTATTTTAGTGACTTTCTAAGTTCAGACTGATAAGTTGGTTAAAAACCATCATTTTCCTTTAAATTTGAATAGTTGGAACATTCGGAACAGCAAGTCAGCATTCAAGTTTTCAGGGTACTAGATCTCGAATAGTTGGAACATCCAGATTTCTTTGAACATGATTTCATTTACTTTGCATTAAATAGTTGCAAGCTGCACAATAGCTCTTGCTATTGGGAATGATGTAGTTCATGGTTTATGCTTCTGTCAGTTCTTGGTTTCTTTCTGTAATCCTTCATGCATTCTCCTCCATAGGATTTTTTTATTTTCTAATTTTAAATCTAATAGTCAATATTCAACTGCTTATTCTTGCTGAAAAATCTGATCTCTGTATAAAAATGATATCAGGTGAGCGTTCGAGTGAGAGACAAGCCTGATCATCAAGTCATGACAGTTGATGACCTCCTCGCTCACTTCAAAGATTCGGTTGCATCATTTCAATAGGAGACACTGCTTCTTGTGCATTGTACTACTGAAGAAATGTAGCCCACAATCAATTTTCAGTTTTCCTACATGTAGGAGATGTAATGCATGCCAATACACTCAGTCTATTTGTTTTTCAGTAATTGAAAGCTATTCTATTACAACAATCTGATATAAACTCAGTTGGAAATTTTGTATTATACTTGTATTTTCTTACAAGCAGGTTGGTAATTTGTTTCTTACTAGCTGTTTAATCTTTTTCTTTCTTCTGATGTCTTTAAGTGGAATCGAATTGTGATTGACAGTAGTTAGCCCATATTGGTTTGTGAGTAGTTGTTTTTCCCAAATAGGTTAGGTTATTCCACTACGTGAACAGCAAATCAGCATTTACGTTTTCATGGTACTGGATGCCGTGTCTGTCTTAGTTTACAACTGTGCTACTTTTTGACAAATACTATTGCTTTTATACTGGATGGAATTTCAGTCTTGCCAGAAATTCTTTATGTTAACAGTATATTATAGCATCTCTCCTGTTCAAACAAGTACTTAGTTTCAATTTTAGAACTTCCTGATAAAAATCATATATTGTTCGTTCCATTAACTAAACAAGAAGATGAGGGATAATATTTTGGTTTTCGCTATCAGTTATGGAAATCTTAAACTTGCTAATTCTTGAGTATTCAAATATCTGTCATGGACGAGATGGTGAATTGCTTCCCCTGACACCAAGAGATCAAGTATCCGAAAACACATTTTTGTGATGAAGCATGTTCGCTGTTTTGTTAAATGAGCAAGTCATTTTGAGAAGAAGGTTCAAAGATTAATTGGTAAAGGATATGTTCCAGGGCGTTACTCTCTTGAACCAAGAAGGTATTTTGTCACAAATGTTTACAGATTTTGGAGGAAGCTCAATGAATCTTTATAACGTATTTTTGTGGCCAGAAAGCGTCATATTTTCATGCTGCAAGACATTTTACATTTATTGCTACGTCATATCATATGGAAGCTCTTTTGCCATTGCAATGCAATCACCTCCTTCAAAAGGTTCAATTCCTAATGAATCTTTTCGAATGGTCCCCTTGTACGGTTTATGCTCTTTTACCTACTCACGTATATACTGACATTTTCCTTTTTCTTTTAAAGAACGAAATTTTCGATCTTTTTCCCTCCCTTTGGTGATAAATACTTTTGAAAGTGCCAATGTCAATTCTTGACAAGGGATTTTACTTGTGATTGGAAATATATCACTGTTCGATTCTGGTAAAGGTTGATGCTATAAGCATGAGATATCAAAAGACGGGAAAAGTTGTTAGTAGACACAAAGGAAAAGTACCAAGGGAATATTTCCAAAATTCACCACAACACTGAGTGAAACAAAAAAGATAGAGACTACATTTACTTTGTTAGCTGTGGAGAAAGATCCATTCTTCCTAATAATACAATCTAAACATTACATTCCAAACAATACACTTAATTAATTACCATAATGACTTATAATTAATATCCATTATTTGGCATGCTGCTACTTACATTCAAATCAGGATGATAACCAAAATGCTGCTGATGATTATAATGGTGATGGTGATGACTGTAAGATGACATTGAACTACTACTCTCTCCACCATGATGATCTAATTTCTCATTATTATTATTGTTATTCCTACTTTTTTCTTCATCATTATTGTCTTCCTCTTCATCATACTCTTCTTTAGCCACTTTCTCCAACCCCAACATTTCAACACTAGGCCTATATTGGGGTTGGTACTCACAATAGGTAGGTATTGAACCGGTCATTCCAGCAGCGTCTGCTGGAACGACGGATGGCAGCTTGGAAAGTAGTGCTTCCAAGCTGCTCATTGAAGGCGTGATCTTCATGTGTTGTTGATGATTGAGATGTTCGTAGAATTCAGCTGGTGCCGGAGTTGCTGCTACTGCTAAATTGGCTTGTAAGTGCCACGCGTCGGGTGGCGCGCCGTAACCGTCCATCTTGAAAGGATATGCTGAGGAAGATGGATGTGGCAGTAGAACTCCTGGAATGCTTTCTATGTAACTAAACTTCTTTCTTAGTAGCACCACATAGCTCAGGTCTTCTATGACCTATATAATTAGTCGGCCCAGTAAATTTCAAGAATATACGACTACAAAAAAGAAACAACCTATGTAGTCCATCTATACATATATGTTTCAAGTCTTTTAGCAGACGTGTTTATGTTATATGCCGACATTATAAGTAATTTTTACACTAGCAGTGCGATTTAAATGGTTATAAAAGGTTATTAGTATAGTTTTCAAGTACCATATCAGGCTTATATGTAAAGTTATCTATTATTATAAGTCGACATAATCTGATAATGCTAAAACTCTTTACATATCATTGCACATACCATAAACTTTTATATAGTTGATATAGTGTTGGTTTTAAGGGTTTTTGAGTGGGGTGGGTGAGTAGGGTAGAGGGATAAAAAGATTATACCTTATGAACAGCTCCTAACTGAATGACACCTTCTCTAACAGCAATCAAGGCTATAGTCTGAAAACAACAAAGGATAAAACAAACATTACATTTGATCCAACAAACCTAAGTGAAATATAATTTTATGGAATGTGGTCAAGATTTTTCTTACCTTTATACCAGAACGAAACTGAGCTTCCCAAGTTCTTGGGTGCTGTTGGAAAAAAAGAAAATATGTTAACAAAACAAAAAGTATTGAAAATTAATAAAATATATAAATAGTTAAGCTTAGAATATGTGCTTACAGAATCAGCAGAGTTGTGCCATGCAGACAAGAAATTGATTTCTTGTTCATTAGGTTCTTTATAGATCCATTTATGACTGTGATCTGCTGCTACTTTTCCAATTATACTGCAAAAATTAAAAAATAAAAATCTTGGAATAATTGAAAGGTACTAAACAAGTGGAAGGAAATAAAATTCTGCATATTTTTCTTTGTTATATATATATACCCTTCACCATAGTTGTAGATTTCATGGGACATCTTGAAAAAAAGGTCAGGTTGTAATCCTTGATATTCTCCATAATTATTAGTAGAAGATCCTTCACATTCATTCATCTCTGCTGTTGATGCTGCAAAATTGCAAAAACCATCTTCCCATACCAATATCCTATCATTTTATTATACCAAATTAAAAAATAAGCTAATTCCCATCTAGAAAAAGAAGAAGAAGAATTGATATATTATATATATATGAGCAAAACATTTACCAGTTTCTTCTATTCCCTCTTGACCTATCATATGCTCCTCCTTGACTATCCCACCTAATTCAAAAGGAAAAAAAAAAGAGAGAATACAATTAGCATTATGTGACTTGTTTTATGAAAATGAATAAATTAAACCAGTCGATTTCAAATATCGGATGACAGCTCGATGCACATGGCATTCGTATTCACGCCGATTACGAGGAAGGGCTGCACCTCAAGGGGTATGATGTAGACAGCCTAACCTAAAGTTTGGAATATCATATGGTTAAACAAAAAAGCTATAACTGAATGAAAAGCATACTTGGGAGGAGGATAGTTTCTGGGCAAGATTCTCCAAAAGACAGCATAAACCCATTGAGAGTTTTCATGAATACATAAACTCCTTAGAGAGTGTTGAAGAAGATGAGTAACTGCTAAAGAGCTAAGTTGTTCTTCCATTTAATTTGGAATTAACTTCTTTCCTTTGGACTTGAAAGAAAATAATTTTTTTTGTTAAGAGAAGCAAAGACATAACATCCTTTACTTTATATAAGGACACCACCAAAGAAATATATAGTAGTATCACATTTATACCTCTTCCCTTCTTTCTCTCTCTTATATAATGAGAGAAAAAGAAGGTGTTTTCAAGATTTTACCAATATAGACTGCACAAGGCCCCACGCTTTTGCCTGCCCGGTTTCCAATAATCTCTTTTTCAAACCCCTCCATTCAATATATATATATATATACACCCTCCGTTCACTTTTTCTTGGCACGTTTTCACTTTTTACGCCCCTTAAGAAATAATAAATGAAGTGCATAATTACCATATTAATTGATGCATATTTTATTGGATTTGAGAAAATGATTTGAAATGAGTAATAAATACTGTGGGTATAACTGGAAATTTTTTTTGTCTTCTCTTGATATGCGTAAAGTGACAAGTAAAAATAAAAATTTGTTTTTAGTATACCTGCCAAGTAAAAGTGAACGGAGGGAGTATATATTTATGCTATAAAAAAATTTATACCATCAATGGCAGCCCGATGCACAAAGCATTCCGCGTTCGCACAAGATTGAAGAATTGATAGCACTCTAGGGGATGTGATGTAGACAGTCTACCCTAATGCAAGCATTAGTGATTTCTTATACGACTCGAACTCGTGACCTATAGGTCATACGAAGACAACTCTATCGTCAATAAATTTTAATATGGTGTAGTATATAGCTTTATTTTCAGGTTGTTGATTATAGTTCTTACGATAATTACTTGTAGTTATCTTTTAAATGACTGGTTTACACAAAAGAAAAGAAAACCCCAATTATGAGTTTATTGGGAGGGCCAAACATTATGAGTTTTATAAATCTTTCTGAATTTTCTTCCTTATGCCAATTTCAATATTTTGAGAGTTGAGACCCCATTTGCTATATGCGGGAGTCTCTTTAAAATAGTTCTAGTGCTAGTCTTTTTTCTCAACTATTATGGCATATATTTGGGTCCTCCTATTTATTTTCTACTTAGATTCCAATTTCATTTATTTATTGTATATTAACCAATGTGGAAAAGAAACTACACTTTTATTGGGTTTTCTGCATTTTATCGTTTAACTATTTTCTGCAATTTTTCTTATACCTTGGGACCTACTAAGGCTGTTCACCAGGTTTTTTGAATACTACAATATTATTTCTAACATTAGTAATATTCAATGGACCTATCCTATCTATAGTCGAGTTTCCTTCTATTTTTTTAAAACGTATTTGGAGGCAATTTACATATCAACGGTGGATATCTAGTTTCAACAACGGTGGATATCAACGGTGAACTCATAATTCGTTTTAGTTGTTAGGTTCATAATTAAATATTTATAAATACAATGTCCAACAAAAACTACTAAGTGCGTCAGAATCTATACGTAATATTCTAACTCCGCCCTTGTATATGTAGTTACAGTTACAGAAAATTCACGCCTTAAATGATAATAGGTGTATTGATACTCTCTATCTAATGATTTAAAATCTTGAATTTAATTACCTCCACTAAAAGAAATGGCCTCAATCATCCTACAAAAATTGGTCAACATAACATGAATTAATGTTAAGGTTGTCATAAAAATTAGGCCGTTCAAGTCACCAATCATATTGCCAAAAATATTAAACATGACGGACTTTGAATGTTGCACAATTGTGAAAGTAATACCTGTCAAAATTAAGAACCAAATAAAATAGCAACACTTGTTTATAACCCACCTCAAAAATTGAACACGCCAAATTAAAGAATTATGCTCTCTATCATAATAAAACTGTTTCAGTTCATGACAACGTAAAGAATTTTTACACTGTCGATGAATTATATTTTAACGCGGTATAGCAGGTTGTCCGCCTCATTTTTTAGGACACTAATGTCGTACGTACCGTAGTTAAAATATATTACAAATCATTGTTTGTGAGATAATTTTGGAAGAAATACATGTGAAAAAGTATAAACAAACCTAACACAAGATGAAGCTCGTGCATATGCCCAAGAAAGTCAATCTCCAAAACAAGGAAGTCGAAGTGAACAGCCTAATATAACAACTTACTTAAGGTCCATAATCAAGGTAAAAAAAGAGGTAATTTGCTGTACAATTCCAGTTATACTTAGTACCAAAAATTGATAGAAATTAAAAAGTTCAATAGCCTCATGATATATATGTGTCATGGATGCGTCTGTTTTCTTTGACCAATTCAATCTTCTTTTCTTTTTCAGACTGTTCATTACAATTAATAGCCGCATTGGTACTCATAGTGTACATCCAAAATTATGTTTTTGTTTTTCTGTATTTGTACGTTGTGGTCCAAACACACAAGGAGCAACAGATTCTATATATAAATATGTAGAAATCTTATTTCATAAATACACAAAATGCATGTTTCAATACACTACTGCCCTCACATGATGCTAGACTTTTTTTTTGCAAGATACTTATCATAATTTTAATCAGTCAAAACTAGGATTTTGGTCTTAAAATTTTAAAGTTGCTACTCTATCCGGTACCAAATTAGTACTAATAATTTTGGCAGACTGAATTATCTTAAAATATTTGAGGATTTGGAAAAACATGAAGTCATTTATATCTTTTTTCCCCTACAAATTAAATATACGTACCTTTTTTTTTTCTTTTCCTATAATGAATTATTAATTAAGGGAGACGTTTAAGGAGTGATAAATTAAATAATACTACTACTTAGACAAATACTCAAATAATTAAGCTATTAAATAGTACTACCTTTTGTGCTATAGAAAACAGATCATGTACGACTATTTAGGGTTTAACTAGCACGTCTTGGCTGAGATAATGTAGAGTGGAATTTGAACCCTTACACTTTTTCGATCCAACACTCTGCGCAAAAGGTGAAGAATTAATTCAAATAGTCGCCTATACAGCTGCTTAAACAAGAGAGTCAATGAATATATATATAAAATCGTGTATAGTATACGTATATCTACTAGAAAATATAAATAATAGATCGCTTAGTTAAATATAGGAAACCATAAAGATGTTACTGCTTAGGGAATGAATACCTAAGAGAATTCATTGGGGAAACGTAAATAGGATAACTGATTATCGTACACGCAAATAATGAAAACTCAAACGGTTTTGCAGTTAGTGATGAATATATAGAAGCATTGATTACATATAATTGTAAGACAGAACAGTGTCTAGTCTTCTCAGTTTTGTACTCCTTATATTACAGTTTACACATCGCTCTCAAACAACATTCATAGTGTACGTATATATATGTGTGACAAAAATTTTATGGACTAGACGAAATTATCGAAACTGTACTTTCTTTCTCTCTTTTTTTCTCTCTTAAAGATAATTTTTAAACTAACTCGATTGCCAATGTGCAGAGAGCACACTGATAAAGATTAGGAATGTGACTATATATAAGGGCAGCCCGATGCATAAGGTATTCCGTATTCACGTAGGGTTCGGGGAAAGAGTGTGATGTAGATAACGTACCCTAATGCAAGCATTAGTGGTTGCTTCTACGGCTCGAATCCATGACCTATAGGTCACGCGGAGACAACTTTACCGTTGCTCTAAGACTCCTCTTCAATCAGTGGCGGAGCCACCTTATAGGAAGGGGTGTCAAATGACACCCCTTCGCGGAAAAAAATATTGTGTAGGTAGGTTAAAAAATAAATAAATTATATGCATATATACTATGTATTGGCTCCCGTTAATTTTCTGGTATGTTTATTTTCATATATTTTGACACCCCTTAATAAAAATTCTGGCTCCGCCACTGCCTTCAATGTTGTAAATTGACTATTAGCATAAAAATATTCAAACTATGTATGATGAAACTTCTGAACACAAGATATTAATTTGGTTAAGTTTAAGCTGTGAGCACTGTAAAACACAGGTCCTCACCTCACTCAAGCTCGAGGTGAGCTATAATGGAGATCGGAGAGACATCGTTTGCATAACGAAGAGAGAAAAAAGAATCTAGAATGGGCCAACCGACCTTTCTTACATCTGTAGCATCAATATATACAAAATATCCTAACTAAAATGAATAACAAGAATAGCCTCCTAACAAATTAACTAACTAGCCACTTTACAAGTATATAGTCACTTTTACATAATTAGCCATCTCAACACCCCCCCCTCAAGTTGGTGGTATAGCAAACACTGCTAACTTGTACAAAGTTGCTGAATGTTTGACTCCTATTAATGCTTTAGTTAAAACATCTACAAGTTGGTTCGTAGTTCCCACATGTTGTAATGAAATCAGCCCTTCCTGTAGCTTGTTTCTGACAAAGTGACAGTCCATCTCTATGTGATTGGTTTTTTCATGGAACACCGATTTCTTGCTATGTGCATGGCAGATTGGCTATCACAAAATACTGTAGTGGGCTTAGGGAAAGGAACTATGAGCTCCTCAAACAGCCTACTAAGCCACACCAATTCCCCCACTACCTTTCTTAGAGCTCTATACTCAGCTTCTGCAGAGGATAATGAAATGGTGTCTTGCTTCTTTGATTTCCAGCTAACAGGGTTGCTCCATAAAAGTACAAGATACCCACTCATAGATTTCCGGGAATCTGGGCATGCTACCTAGTCAGAGTCACAGTAGGCCTTGATAGTATGATCTGCATCCTAGCAGGAAAATCCCTAGAGTTGGGTCCCCCTTCAAATATCTAAGAAGATGAAAAACTGCTTTCAAGTGAGGCTGTCTGGGGTCATCCATGAGCTGGCTCAGATTTTGTACACTGTAGGCTATATCCAATCTAGTGTTTGTGAGGAAGTTAAGCTTTCCTACTAGTTTCCTATAGTAGGTAGGATCAGTCAGAACCTCTCCTTCTTTTGCCTTGAGTTTGACTATTGGATCTAGTGGTGAAGTAAAGCTGTTGTGATCCATGCACTGATATTCTTTGAGCAAGTCAAGAGTGAACTTCCTCTGAGATATTATCACACCATCAGCTTTGTAAAGAACTTCTAGTCCCAAACAATAGTATAGCCTGCCCAAATCTTTTATCTTGAAGCTGTCATTTAGAAAAACTTTCAATTCTTCAATCTCCGTTGTGTTAGTGCCTGTCACC